CCCTCCTTGTCAGTATCCCCTTGCCTTCCCAAGTCCCGCCCAAGTCCCCTCTGCCCCAAGAACTACTCCTGAAGTGCCTAACTGATTTTAACTGGTGAATCGGAGTTAGCGAGCAACGCGTGGCTCCCACCCATCAGCCACAGAAGCCCTGGGGTGTCAGGGGGCTGGTTGGGTCTTACACTGAGGAAGGCTGATCCCGGCAGACTCTCTGCTGAATCTCAGGGCAACACCAGCTGGTCTGGCCCGGCCCCTCCCAAGTCCCGATTCCCATCGAGGGCGGACACCAGAGCCGGAAGCGCCGTGTGTGGCACAGTGTCTGTTCTCAATTCGTGTTTGCTTTAGAATAACTACAATGTTACTGTTATTCCTGTCCCCTCTCCACTCCCACTCTCATCAGCCACTCTTGCCAACCCTGGCCTGAGTTGCAGAGCTGAAAGAATGAGGAGGGGAGATCATGACCAGTTCACCATTCTGGGGCTGCCCTACCCGCCGCCCCCAGGCCTGGGGCCTAGACTGGTAATCCCAGCAAACGGCCTACTGAGTCTACAGCATGTTCTCTGCTCCCACGGGACTGACTGGCATGGGTATTCTCTGCATGTCAGGCCCTGGCCAAGTGGCCTGGAGAGAAAACCTTAGGAACTAGCACCTATTCTTGCAACACCTCGAAGGCTAGCTGGCATACATCTTTTACTTCTAAAGGGGCAGCTGGCTCAGGTGGGAGACACAATTGTGCCCCGGGAGGCTGGGCAAACTGCCTCGAGATGAATGTTTTCATTCTGAGGGCAGCCCTAGGGCCTCGTGGTGGCAAAGGCAGTACAGAGCCAGGCCATGAGGAAGCAGGAGCCCGAGGCCTCCAGGTGCCCTAGCGCCTTCCATCAAGCAGACGCAAGTGCCGGCATCCAGCAAAGGTGGCCTGGCTCCCGCAGCCTGGACCTCTCCTATTGCTGTTGCTCAGAGAACCAGGTGACCAGATGCCTTTTTTAATGCCAACAGGGCTCAACAAAAGCAGGTTAGCAAAGCGAACCACCTGTGTTCATGTGTTGTACCCCACCTGCCTCCACAGAAGATCTGAGGCTGCAATAAGTCACAGCTATTGGAATCATGGGCATGAGTGGTCAGTTCTTGCCACAGCTTCAGACTCGGACCTTCAAAGTGACCATTCACTGGGGCTCGGAAAGTAGGGCAGGGGTGGTGGACAGTGGCTCCTGACGCTGCAGCCCCGGGGAGAGCCCATTCAGAAGGGGCCTTCCCCACCCCCTCCTCTCCTTCCTCCCAATTCAGGGCCACTGGACTTGCTGGTCAGCTGCAGCCAGCGGGGGGCCACCCCTGCTCCCTTTCCCCCCCTCTCCCCCCCCCGCCTCTGCCTTGCCTATGCCAGAGCACAGCGCCCGGAGGACGACCCGGCCTGCACGTCTCCGCACCCCCTCCCCCAACCTCGTCACATGGCGGCCCCAAAGAGGCGCGCAGTGCGTCCTGCCTGCCGTGGAGACCCAGGGACGAGGCGCCGTGGGCGGTGAGTGATGAAACCTCCCTGCGCATTACCGCAGAGGGCGCGGTCTGGAGGCGGGCGGGTGGAGGGGGGTGGGAGCTGGGCCCCGGGCTCACCTGTTCTC